TGCATTTTTTTAAAATATTGAGCTTGGATTACTTTCACAGTGTTAAAATAGGAGGAAACTTAGGGCTTTTAATAACACATAAGAATGAGCACTGCAGCAGCTCTTCTTTTTAGAGAGGAATAAAGATTGTCAGCTCTGAAGACTGCACCCATACAGGGTGTCAGGGTGAGACAAGGCTAGAGCCACGTTAGGCATTCTAGCAGCAAGTTCAGGATGCTTTTCCGTGGAAAAAAGGCTTCTCTTGGGCTGCCTGGTGTTCACACCAGGAGCGAAAGAGGATCCTTCTGTTATTGATTTGTATACCTAGGAGGGCTATGCTTAGCTTACTAGGTGAGGAAAGAGGTCTGGTTGATTACTTCCATTTTCATTACCTGTAAATGTGGATATTGAACCTAGATAACATTAACCAATGAAAACAAAAGAGATGCCACTTCGCAAAAAGTCTTTGAAAACTTGGGGTAGGCTACAATTACTTAGGATGCAAAAGCGTTGAGCTATAAAAGAACAAATTGGTAAATTGGGCTTCCTAAAAATTGAAGACTTCTGTTATTGAAATATACTACTAAGAAACTGAATAAATAAGCCATGGACTGAGAAAAAATATATTTCATAATGAAATTATATTCAGAATATTTAAGGAAATCTTACAGCTAAATATTAAGTTGAACAGCCAATTTGAAAATGGGCAAGAAACTTGAACAGACTTTTCCCATAGGAAAGCACACAGATGGCCAATAAGCTCATGAAAAGATGCTCAGCATCATTTGTTATTAGGGAAGTACAAATTAAAAACCACAATGACATACCAGTAGGTGTCTAATTTTTTTCATGTTGGTACTAGGAATTGAATTTGGCCTTCGAACTCAGTAACATGTCCAGTCTCTCCATCGGTTTTAACTTTTTATTTTGAGAGAGGGTTTCACTAAGCTGTCCAGGTGAGATTCAAACTTGCCCTCCTCCTGCTCAGCCTCCCTAAGTGCTGAGATTATGGTTGTGTGCTACCATACCTGGCTTAGGTATCTAAAATTTTATTTAAAGATTAATAATTTCAAGTGTTGGCAAAAATATGGAACAGTCGGACCTCATAATTGGTACATGTTCTTTGGAGAATGGTTTACCAGTTTCCTATTAAGTTACACCTACTTTTACCAACACTTACTGAAGGAAAATGAAAATGTGTCCCAGAAAACTGGTACAGCAGCTCACAGCAGCTTTTTTTTGTATAATAGCCAAAACTGGAAACAAGTCAAATGTCAGTTGACTTGGTGAATAGATAAACAAATTGTGATTTATCCATTCAATGGAATACTGCTCAATAATAGCTCTAAGGAATGAATTACTGGCAGTGCATCATGGGTGAATAACAGAAAGCAAAGCTGGGGCTGCCCAGGGTAGGGATAGGTATGTCTGCAGTGGGGTGGGTGCCAGAGAACGCTGGAGTAATGGAAATGTATTTCTTAGTTCTGCTTTTCATTTTGACTAGGGTGATGGTAACAGTTATAAAATTTGTCAGAACTCATCAAACTCTATACTTAAAGTGAGTATATTTTATTTTTTATTAGTACATGTTTGCAGTATATAATTACATTTATTGTGGGGAGTTGGTACATGTACATAATATATCTTTTTGGTGGTTTTTTTTTGGTAGCAGGGATCAAACTCGGGTCCTTGCACTTGCGCAGCAGACGGCAAAGCCACTGAGCTAAATCCCCGGCCCCTACATAATATATCGTAATTCATTTTTTTCATCTCCCCCTCTCACCATCCCCGCTCCTTCCTTCCAAGTCTTGATCCCCTTCCCATTTGCAAAAGCTCTGTTTTCATCATTTTTCCCTTCAGTTATTTTTTTCCCCAACCCCTTTCCCTAACCCTAACCCTCTCCCTTCCCTCCATCTCTTATCCCCCTATCCATTTGAAAAAAAGCTCCCTCTTTCTATTTGCCCATCTTCTCTGTATACACACAGAGACAGAGAGTTTCTCATTAAGAGAAACCATGCAGTATGTAAGCTCATGTTTCTGATTTATTTCACTTAATATTATGGTCTAAGTTGCATCCATTTACCTACAAATGCCTCACGTTTGTCCTTCTTTATGGCAGAGGTGTAAATTATGTATAAATACAACATTTTCCTTACTCATTCATCCGCTCATGGGGATGTAGGTCTTTTCCAAGATTTAGCTATTACAAACTGTGCTGCTATAAACATGGGTTTGCTTGTATCCCTGTAACATGATGACTTTAGCTCTTTTGGGAAGATACTTAGAAAAAGAATAGCAGGGTCTAATGGAGTTTCTATTTTTAGTTTTCTGAGGAATCTCCATACTGATCTCCATAGTGGTTGTGCTGGTTTACACTGCCACCAACAATGGAGAGGAGTTCTTTTTCCTCATATCATCACCCAGCATTTATTATTATTTGATTTCTTGATGATAACCATCCTTTCTGGAGTAAGATAGTATCTCATGCTTTAATTTGCATTTCAAGTGAGTATACTTTATGGTATGTAAATCATCCCACAATAAAGTTGATATTTAAAATGTTGGCAGTCACTGTACCCTCTGGGGAAGGGCTTTCACAGTCGGGTGTTAAGTGTGCGTGATCACATGGCAGTTTTTGTGGTTACCACTTTGCTTGCCATGCATCCCATGCTCTACCGTCCTTTCCAATATCTGCTTAGGAACCGGTCCTTTGGAAATGGAAAGTAGAGCTATAGGGATGCATTATGAGCAAGGTCATAAGAGAGACGTGTGTTACACTTACCAGAATGCCTTGGGACCAGCATGAGTTCTCTCAGAGCATCAGCAGCTTTATCTGTGGAGGCATCAGCAGCTTTATCTGTGGAGGCATCAGGCCTGACAACTCTGGGTGAGGACTGGTCATTTGGCATTCTATGCTTGCTCTCTTTGTGTGTCTGTTTGGCGTGGGTGGGCATCATGGTGTCAGGGGGTCAAGTCCATGGTTATGGAGCAATTCCCCAAGCTTAGCTTCCCCTGAAACTGTGTGAGTGCTCCTGGTACTCTTTTTCATGAAGGCTGTTTTTCTTGCATTACACCTTCTGTTTATCTGTTCCCCCCAGACTTTCTCCTGAGGTCTATTCTGTGTCCAGGAGTACAGAATTTTCTTTCATTTGCTAGCAAATCAAAGAGGAAAGGACTTCTGACTTCTTACCTGGGTTTCATCTTAACCCAGCAAACAACCAACCCCAAGTCACCTGTCACATTTCCATCCTCAAAGATGGCAAAGAACCTTTTCTTAGTGAGAAGAAACATGCATTTCTTGGCTCCTCTCTGCGGAAAAAAAAAAGGTCTTTTCCAAAAAAAGGAGGAATAGGAGGGGGAAGGCTAGGAGCTTCCTTGTGGGTACCAGTGATAACTACCAGTGATAACACTGAGACTCTGGGCCCTGCTTCCTGTAGGGATAAGAGAGGGCCAGGGGTAGTGGACCCTCGCCACAGTGAGTGGAACTTTAAGCTGTTCAGTTACTCATCCAACTAGTATATATAAATATCAGTAGGGAGGAATGACTGTTGTAGGAATTTCACCCCTGGAGTTACCACATAAGTTAATTTACCTGTTTCTCATATAATGCACTTACTAAAATAAACTTTTACTCCATTATGGAGTGTAAGTAACAGGCCTCCTGCAGGCAAAATAGAAAAAGGCCTGCAGAGTAAAGTTCCTTTACTTTTTTTTTTTTTTGAGACATTGTCTTCTGAAACCAGCATCATCTATATTATTAATCGCTTGTAGGCCTTTATACCACATTGCATTACTCCCTTGGAATTAAACTGCACATATAAAGTATGAAAAATGTACTTTTTAAACAGTAAAAAAGTAATTTTCTCACATAATACCCCAAATAAAGTGCCATGGAGCCATTAGTAGTAAATTGAATTTTTTGGTATGTAATTTGTACAAAAACTGACAAGCGCGAGCCCCCTCTCCCCCATCATTAGTCACTGGGCTTAGCGGACACAGAGGCAGTAATCTGCAAGGGCAGGCATTTTGATGTCGACTTCAATTGCACACTTCATTTATTTGGACAGGGCACAGGCGGCAGCTTCTGTCACGGGGCATCATGGCACTATTAGCGAATTTCGCCCCAGGGCAGCTGGGACGCTGTGCTGGGGCAGATGTTCTTTTCAGCCTATTCAGTGACCATTCTTGGGGGTTGTTTACTGTTGCCATGGTGACCTTCATTTCCATAGCAGCAGCACTGCTGTATCTCAGAGGAAAATGAATTTAGTTATAAAAGGATAATATTTTTCTCTGTCTCTACGTAACCTGCCATCTGTCAACTGGTGGATCAGTAAGGATTCAGAAACCTATTAAGAATTATAGCAATGGAGTGATGGGTATTTTAGGGGGGTTCAGATTAAAACCAGTAATAGATATGAAAGCCAATACTGTGCTCTCAATATCAGAACTTTAATTTTTTTCTGTATATTTTAAGTACTTTTTTTAATGCCTTCATCACCTCTACCACCACCATGTATACACATAACCTCATAAAGTACAGTTTGCATTCTGCTGACAAATGGAAATGACCAAATATCTTGTTTGTATCTCACTCGATGCAGGTGTATTTAATGCTTTTCTTCTTGGAGCTGTGAGCTTTCCCCAGTTCATTAGAGATTCCTGTGGCTGAACTTCCTATTGTCACCGCCTCTTCTACTCCTCACCCAAGGGGAGAGCCAAGGGGGCATGTAGATCAGCAGCTTATCAGAAACATACCATGCATTACAACATTCACAAAGCAGAAGAAAACAGGCTCACCTGATAAAGAAAACTTACGAACATGCTCCTCAAATCTCACTCTAAAGTGCCTTTTCTTCCTCTCAGATCCTAATGGTAAGGCAGTCACCTTCAGGATAGCTCATCCAGTTCTTGGATTTTTTTTTTCTCTATTGTACATATTCATGAACTATAACTTGCAGGGGGAAAATACACACACACCAGCCCTGTTGTAAATAATGTTATTTATTGGTTGATTTTTCCAGATCCTGACATTGATGCTGCCAGTGCCATGATGCTTTTGAATACTCCCTCTGAGATACAAGCAGGTTGTGAGTAGATATTTCTATAGCCTACAGCACCATAGTTTGTGAACTTAACCTTCTCATTCATATACCAGGCCATAGGAAACACTAATGCTAAAGTAGACCTCCCCTTGTAGCATTACTTTAAGAACTACATTAGCACATGAATACATGTATATGCATATACACATGCATCCATACATACATATGAATGAACGCAGAGATGCATTTCTGAGATGAGAAAGTTCAGATAGAATTTTAGGGCTTATGACTTGGGGGCAGAGAAACAAACCCCATAATGACCCTAGTGGAAAGAACTTCCTTTCTCCTGCTAGAATCGTTCCTCTGAGATTGTAGAAGAAGCTCTTAATCCAGTCAGCTTAACCGTGATGGAGCTGAGCAATACTCATTCATAGAAATTTCTTTCCTTTCTGGTCCTTATTAATACAAGCCTGCTATTTTGGAAAGTCTGGCCTTCTCAAGTTTATGCTAGTCATAAAATGGAACCATGACACCTTGTATCATCTCTACACAGCCTTCCAGGCTGCCACAGAGAGAAGGGCACAGCTGGGTTAGCTAAGTGCTCCTGCCTTTACCTTCTGTTGGCCATTGAGCAACGTCAAGTTTGAGATAACTCTTTTCCTACTTGGACTTCTTTTCTGTCTACCGTCTGATGTCTTTCTGCATCTTTAGAGCTAGACCAATGTAGTTTTAGAAAGTTTTCCTTCACAAGAGATGAAAAATGACCTTAAGTGAAGATATCTGTGTCTTTTCTAGACTCAAAGCTTGTCCCTCTGCCCACATTGCACACCCAGCCAGAAGCCTGTTAGTGGACAGATAGCTAGACTGCCAAGGTGTACCCAGCTTGTCACCAGGACATGAATTGATTCATTCCAGTCTATTGATGAAACATGGTAGTATGGAGATGGTGACATAAAGCAATAGACGTCACTATGACATTACTGGGGACTGGTCCTCACCCTTCTAATTCCTTTGGCTGAGACATTTGACCATCTGGGCCTCTGGCTCTCTGAGGATCTCTTAGCCTCCTAAGCAATGGAAATGCCCTACTTTTGGAGAGGATAGTGTTTGCCACCAGAAAGTGCCCATCCTCAGACCCCCAACAGGTGTCACCGTGGACTGATACGGGTTCCAGTCCGCCTTTCATAGCCCTCCACTTGTCCCAGCCTTTCTGATAGCTTTAGGAAATTTGGCTCCACTGTTGCTTTTTGTTCCTGTTCTAAAAGACTAAAGAAATACATCCAAAAATTCTCAGGAAGACCCGATCCTCTGCCTGAGCTGCCCTTACCTGCTCCTAACAGTGCAGGATTCTCATTCTTCCTTTGCTAACTTGGGTTACTAGCATTTGGAATGTTAGTCTGCCCAGCAAACAGCACTGCTGCACACACGTGTAACTGGTACATTTCTGTAACTAGCACTTAACCTGGAATGTGGCTTTTACATGTTCAGATTTTTAGAGAAATACTTAAAAACCTCCATTCTTAGATGGCATCTCAGGAAAAGTGCAGCCCAGATTGTAATCAAGTTACAGGCTGAAATGATTTCTAAAATCAAGTTGCATAACCTGTCCTAGTGGAAACACTGATTTCATCAGAGCCATGCAAGATTTGAGCACCTTCTTTAGCACTCAACCATTGTACACAGTGATCATTAAATTAAAAAAAAAAATACTGTCAGTGAACTGGTGGAAAAGGCAAGGGAATTGATGGAGCATTTATAGATCCTCAGCAGCTTTCATGAAATTCCCCTATTATTGAATTCTTGGCTACAGATGGAAAAGGAAAAGCCATACTCCCAATTAGCCTGGGTCAACAGGTCAGTTGTTCTGAATGTTCTCATTTCTATTCCTATAACTCCCCAACTGGAAAAATTCTCCTTCCAAGACATTAATAGTCCTATTTACATTGGAATGCTGAATTAGAATGCTGAAGTTGAGAGTTGCAAAGCTATAGGATCATTTGGGAAGTCTTTCTTAGAAAGCTAGTATGACTGGGTGAGAAATCCGGCCATAACCTTCAGTCAGGAAGGCCCCGTGCTGGAGGGGGTTCCAAGGCTCCAGAAGAAAAGAGCCAGGATCCCTATGAAGGTCACAGAAGATGAAGTCGCAGACAGGAGCCGAGAGACGTAAGCATGAAGATTTGGGGTAGGGACATCTTCATGTTTGTCTTCCCATTTGACCTCCAGTGCTGGTCTAATAATATCCAAGAGGTCAGATACAGGCATAGTCAATGGGCAGGTAAAAGGCCCCAAAGATTGGAGCAGTACCTTATGAGGGAGTGAAGATACATCAGGAGTCTACTGTGTACGCCTGGAAAGTCAGGTGGCCGTTGCTTACCCTTGTAATAGAGCCAGAGGTGACCACTGTTTTCAGCCAGCACTTCCTTGCTTCACTCTTCCCTGCCCACCTTTATTTCCTTTTACATTTTGTAGTGTTTCTTGCCTTGAGATTTGAGGCAGTGCCTTGCCCTCTTAAGAGAGAAGCGTTACAAAGCTAGAATGATTAAGCCGCCATTCCTAGCCCTGCCAGCATGGTCCCAGGCTAGAAAACAAGAAGAGATCGCTGGATGGAAGGTCTCAGTGTGGATCTGTACCAGCCTTCTCGAGGTCCCTGCCTGCCCAGAGCCAGCCTATATTTTCCCTTGGGCTGGGGCTCCTCGTGCAATGCTCTCCTTAGCCCCTTGGCTTCCCCTCTCAGCCTGCTTCATCCCCTTGTCTGAACAGGTGCTGCCAGCCTAGGGTCTCTGCCTCTGTGCACTGTGAGAAGTTAGAGGCTGGCTTGAAAGGGTTTCCCTTTGTCATCGCCCTTTGTAGCTGCTTCGCCTCAGGTCACCAGATGGCAGCCACTTAGATCTTTTCCTTTCTTCCTTTCTTTACTCAGCTTGTGCAAAGTGAGCTCAGGGCTGGTGGACCAGCCACTGTCCAGAGTGAGTAGGTCCTACAAAGGAAACTGCTCGAGAACCTGTCTAACACAAGCTTCTTTCTCTGAGGGACCCACGTGCCCAGAGGAGCCCCATGCAACCTGCATTGCTTGGGCTGGAGTCAGTCTTGTTTCAGCCTGATGCTTTTCTTTCGGTCAGGCAATGGGTTGCAGCTAATGAAAACCTGGGCTCCAACAGTTTGTCCTCCTGGTGGCACCTGCGGAGCATGTGACATTAGCTTTTTCAGACTGCCAGTTTGCAGTGTGGGACACGTTCTGCAAGGAGAGCTATTAGGTCCCACGTGCTCCCTAGGACACTACTTCAGAACACTCAGTACAGGGTATGGTTGGCTCAGTATCTTCCTAACTTTGGATTATGCTCCCTAGCCTACCCTCCCCCCCAAAATTTCAGCTTCTGGTATCCCCTTTAAGCACCTGCCATGCAGAGCCCCTTTGACAAGCCCAGTGAGTCATCTTTAACCCCCGTGGAGGAATTGTTATTAAGTCAGGAGAAGCCAGATCACTATTACTCATCTTCAAAGGCTTATATAACCCCTGGTTGGAATGTTCCCACAGGCGAACTCTGGATAATAAACAAAACAACGGAAAAGGACCTAGGGGGAGGGAGGCTGGCGTTCCACTCCCCCTGGAAGTGGGGTATGTGTCAGCCTCAGCAGACGAAGTAGAAGATAAGCAGCCTCGAAATCGGTCCCCTCCCCAGCCTGTTTCCAAGGGAGCAGGTGGAAAGGCCGCCTTTGGGAAAGGAAAAGATTATAAGAATCACCTGCTGCTCAGCTTATGGCCTTTGGTGGAGTTGGCCAGGGCTGCCCTCTCAAGGCTGTGGGAGGAGCTCTGAGGTTAATTTTAGAAGTGAAAAATCAAGTGAGCTATGAATCAAGAGGGAGGCTGGGGACGTGCCGGGGGACGTGCCGAGGGACGACTTACTGTGCAGGAGAGTTTGTCTTATGCCTCAGACATTTTTTTGTTTGTAAGATTCCCAAAATCACATTATCCTGTTGGATCAGGGCATCTACAGTGATTGGTGCTGCTTGATCTGGCTGTTTTTATGAGTGTGTTGCTTTCTTGCTAAAGTCAGCAAGTTTAGAGTCACCCTCTAACTTCAAAGAACCCTAGCAAGTGTTGGGGACTCTGGTGCTGAAGTCCTTGGCACCTTATTATCCCAGCAGCTAGAAAGTTCGAGACCTACATCTTCTCTCCTATACAAGATGCATATTTAACTGATCTACAAAAAAGGATGATGCTTGAGCCCTGGGCCTCTTCTAGTGAGAGCCACAAATCAATTAGAGGTTGATTCACTGTGTGCAGTTTGTTAAGTCTTTGACCTGGGTGGAGTTTAGCTGTTTTCATTGCATTGGGTGGGGTGGGTTGTTGTGAAAGTGTTGGTATTTAAGTGTCTTGATGTGCTCTGAGGGAAACAGAGTGGAAGGAAGGGAAAGAGACGTGCTGATAGACCAAGGCCTGAAGAATGGACTCACGTTCCTGCTGAATCCAGTAAAAAGCAGGGGAAGATGGACATCAGAATGCCTTTCTCAGAAAGTTATTTTATACCAGCTATGATGCACTGTTCAGAAGCTACATTCCTGACGCTAGGGGATGGGGACGGAAAGGAGAAGAGATGGCACAGTCAGCTGGCTTCTCGCAGTCAGTGAGCAAATACAAACACATCTACCACCTCAACATGGAGAGTGCTGCCAGTGAGCATGAGAAGCGCCAGGATTAGCGGAGACAGCGCTCACTTGCAGCTCATTGGAGAACAAGCTCCAGGACTCAGTAGGCGCCCAGACCGTGCCAGAAATCTTGTGGGGTTAAGAAAATAGCTTAGGAGAAGTCTACGGTACTGCAAGATCACTTTGTCCATGAGATTCTCTTTAAAATGAGTGCAGTTCACTCATTAGGAAGATGTTTTAACAAGAAAGAGCAAAGGTACAACCAATTACAAAAGGCATAATACAAGTGAAAGAATTTCCCCATGTCCTGAGCCTATTAAGCCATGTGCCTTATATAATCAATGAGGCCGCTAGAGAGATGATGTGGGGTGGTGGATGATGGTGGTGGTGGTGGTGGTGGTATACATGGCCGGCCAGCCACTGAGATAAGCAGTTTACATAACTCACCTTATTTAATCCTCAGAACAGTCCTATGAGGTGTGTTTATGCTTGCTTTACCAGTGAGGGAATGGAGGCACGGAGAGGCTAAGGTACTAGGCCAAAGCCACAGGCTGGGTGGGCCAAGCCTTTGAACCAAGGCAGTGCTGCTCAGAGCCTTTGGCCACTGCAGTGTGCATCTTCCAGGCAGGTTTCCATGAGATGGGGCATCCGCAGCTCCAAGTCTCCAGCAGGTGTTTGCTGTGGACTGGGTTCCTTTTCTTTCCCTTCGTGTTGCTTAAAGGTTTGGGCATTGGGAAGAGGACCCTGTGATGAGACACTGTCCTCAGGCTGCTTTTCTTGTTTCATAGGCAGATGTCTCCTGGCCATGCCAGAGAGCAAAAGCACATATGCTCCATGACTTGCATGTGCTCTCTTCCATTCCAGGGCTTCCTCATCTCTGTCCAGTGTTGAAGGCTGGCTCGGGTGTTTGTGCTGCAGCGATGGCTGACATACAGCACACAAGCATAGCTGAGCATCACAGGAGCTGTTCAGTCAGCCACTCTGTCACCGGGAAGACTGCTAAATTCTTAACTTGTTGGTGTGGCTTTTGCCTCATTCCATATTTCTGGGTTTTCAGCTCACCTAAAGTGCAGAATGTTCAGCCTTCTAGCAATTCCTCTGTAGACAGTGATCGTGTCAGCGATGATAACAGTGATAGCTAACACACATGTTCTAAATACGAGTGCCTCTTTTAAGTCAGTTAAATCTCCTAGTACCTTGAGAGGTAAGTATTATTTTGTCCCCCAGCTTACTTAAGGAATTGCATGGGGGTTCAGTCAGTAGTTGACAGAGATAACACCCAGACCCAGGGTAGTCTAACACCAGATACTAGTTCTCAGCCACGTCAGTGCAGGCCACTTTCTTGCTCCAAATCATATAATGGTTTTCCCAAGTCCCATGGGCTAACATCTAAGTGAATCCCATTCCTACTACGATTGTATGCTGTACCAAAGTAACTTTTAGTTTCCTGTGCATGCTGTGCTTTAAAAAAAAAAAACAAAAAAACAACTCCAGGACTTTGTATCTTCTACTTCTCTGGCTTAGAATTTCAGTGTAAGTGGCACTTCTTACAGGAAGCCTTCCCTGGTACCCTTATACACCTACAGTCCGTATAACTGATCATATTGTGTCTTCAGTGTCTCAGATTCTCTTATCTGTCCCACTTAACTGTTATTGCCCTATGACCTTATCACCTGATACAGATAATACACAGGAAAATGCTTGGCAAACATTTTAATAATTAAATGATACAGTCTGTATATGGGACTGTCACCATTTTTACTGCCCAGGGTCACAATGTAGTTCAGATTTTCAGTATTTAAGTTACTTATCCACATTTTTTTCTAAATCGATCTCCGGTTTTGATATTCTCCTTTCCTCCATTTTTGTTGTCTTGATAGCCTTAGCAAAAATCGGATGGCCACATATGTGTGGTTCTATTTCTGTATCCCATGTGGTTCCTTTGATTTATATGTTTGTACTATCTCCTCCCTCAGATAATCTAATCTATCATCTGAAACCAGGCTGCTGATTGGGGGTGGGAGGAGTTCCTGATCTTGCTCTGCTCACTCCCCAAATTGGTTATGATAAGAGGCTGGGGTCATTCTGGAACACTGGACTGTACTTGATGCTGGTGAATTAGGCAAGAGTTTCAATTTTAACTCCCATCCTACCTTTTATAAGACCTAATAATAAGGGCTTCATACAAACCTGGAAGAGAAATGGCAAAAATTATTAGCAACAAGTACAAAATGCCCAAGAAGTCAGTAGTCTGTAAAATTATCCCATGTTCATGAGTGGACATTCACCTTACATGAAGGATGTTTAGTTAAAAGTTAGGAATATTTATAAAACACATATTCTTAGAGATCTAAAAGTCAAGTGAGTAAATTATATGTATAGGTAATTTACTTTATAAGAAGGATTTATTCTATACAAATAATACTGTGTTTAAGCACTTACAATCCAGGCTGGTTTTTGTGTTTCAGGGTATAATTCTTTAGACTTTTTGGTGGTGTTGGTAATAGCACAGTTTACACACTTGCACCTGTAGGAAACTGTGCCAAGGCTGGGGAGCAAAAGGGGTCTTGGCAGGAAGAAGTCCCAAGAAGGAAATCACTTCTGGGAATTGTGCAGAGTCACACAAGAACTAAGGTTAAACCCATCTGTACTCACGATTAGCAGTGTCACCTGGCCTCACAGCCACAGGGAGGGGCCTTGGTAGATGTAGCAGGTGACAGAGGATTTGCTTGAACTAGACAAAATTGCTGTTTGGAAGGTTAAAAAACAAAAGTCAGATATCAGAGATTCTGCGCAGTTTCCTTGTTGTCATGTAAATCCTCAGACAAAATTGGATTGGCGGGAAGCCACGCTGAGTATGCATGGGATGTGGACCGGTCTATAGAAGTATCCCACATGTGTATCTGGAGATGGATCTGATGGTCACTGGCCACATGGTCGCTTAGCGTTCGGGCTGCTCCAGGAATGAGTGTGTGGAAGGTGGATTCTGTGGAGACTCTCAGGAAGATTTCTTGGGAGGAACTTTGGAAAAGGAGGGATGTGGGCCTCCAGAGCCATCTCTGTGGGACTCTGAGGCTAACAACAGAACCTAGAGGTTACCTCTTTCCTCCCAAGGACCTGAGGAGGGACCTCTGGGGTGGACTGTGTTGCAAGGCTGAGGGTTCAAGTAGCTTGAAAAATTGGCTCTGCTGTTACTTTTGGCTGTATTTCTCCTTTGTTGGATGAAGGACAAATAGGAAAATGTTCTCAACTTATGACCCTGGCCTGAGAAGCATGAAGAAATATATTTGTTAGGTCATCTGCTGTCCTTCCTTTGTGAGATTTCTTAGGTTCTGACCAAAAGATTAGAGGTTATGGTTAACAAATGCAAGAAAATGGTATTTGAAGCCTGTTGTTACAAAGTTACTTTTTCTTTAACCTAGGTATCAATATTTTGTTTGTAAGCTATTGGTCTGATTTTGCTGGCCAAATTATGTTTCTGCTCTTTCTATCTGGTCTTGTTCTTTTGGTATCTTTTTCTTTCTGTATATGTATGTGGGGTGTGTGTGTGTGTGTGTGTGTGTGTGTGTGTGTGTATGTGTGTGTGTGCAATTTTTCTCTCACTTCTTTCCTTTCCCTCGTCCTCCTCCTCTACCTCCTCCTTCCTCGGTCTCTCTCCCTGCTCCTCCCAGAGTTTCTGACTTAAAACAGAAGTTGTTACAGTTGATTCACATGCATTATTTTTTTCTTTTCTGCTTTTCCAGTTCCTCCAGGAGTGATTCAAAATGGAGCACGGGTTCTGAGCCGAGGGCTGTTCCCTGGCGTCCGGCCATTGCCAATCACTCCCATTGGAATGACGGCAGCCATGAGGTAAGGGAGGCGCCTACTTGATGAGTGGGAGGGCCATTGCTTTGTCCTCCGGGGCCCCTTGGAGGATCAAGACGACCAGCTTCTAACCAGTGAAGACATACCTAGTTTGGGTGTTCAGCAAAGTCTAAAAAGTAACCTCCAGTGCCCCCAGTCCAAATGCCAGCTACTCCTTCATGGGCCATCCTGATTGTTTGCAGATGAGGAGATGGAGGCAAATTAAAGTTTTTTGGTTTCTGGTTTTTGGTTTTACTTTCCAGGGGAACAGGATTAAAGTGAGTAGAAGGAAAGCATGGGTGGGTTCTTAGATTCTAGGCTGTGTCTGACCTGCCTGGGCCTCAGTTTCCTCACCCACTGTACTTCTCTACGTTTAAGCATGGGTTGCAGTACAAGTCAAATGCAAAATCATGTGTAATACGTGCTTTGGTAAGTGGCCTATAAATAGCAAGTGGTATCGTTCCCCTGTTTCCAAGAATCAGGTCAGTTGTCAGACCGCATGAACTCTTCCTACGGAAATGTCTTTCTTCCATCCTCCTCATCTCCACTGCCAGCCCAAGATTAGGGTCCACCACTAGCTTTGAACCCCCATGTGCACCAGTGTGTCAGCCTCCTCCTGTTTTCCTGCCATCTGTCAGCCACTACCAGAACAGTTTCTTAAAATGTACCAGAGTCAGCAGAGCCACCTTCATGACTCTTCACCTCACCCTGTCACCTAGGCCTTCCCTCCTTCTTGAACCAGATTTGTTCATCAAATATGCCCCGTATTTGCCCATCTTAGTCACGTTGCTGCTTCTGCATAGACTTCCCTCAGCTTGCACATGGTCCCTTCACAATACTTTCCTGAAGTGGCCAGCACCATCAGGAGCTCTTCAGACCCCTGAATACCAAGGGAGGATGATGGGGAATAAAAGAAAGAGACAGGAGCAATATTTAGTGTGCGATGGGGGACCAGGAGGAATCTGTCTGTAGTGGACAGACTTCAGTGAACTCCACAGTGGGCCCACTTTTATTGAATCATCAAAGAGCACAAGGGAGGGAGGAGGTAGTGTACTATTTGAAGAACAGCAACTGCAGTAAGGTGGGAAGTAAGGTAGGAAGATAGGGACCAAGATTAACATCTCAAAGGGAAAATGTAAGGTCCTTCTCTACACCCTGATGTCTGCATTTTATATTGCCCTCAGCAGAATGTTATCTTGCCTCAGAAGAGCTACGATTATGGCTTTCCTACAGATCCAGGAAGTCTGCAATCTTTTGCCTACTTCTCTATGACCCCTGGGGCCTTGGTACTGCAGGGCCTGTGGCCTGACCCCCACCAATCTATGCATATCGTGACTGGTCCCCAACACAGCATGAAACGGAGTTCTGCTTCCTGTGGCCCATCAGCCCCATGCTGCAGTGGTGGCTTTTAACACATGACCCTATCTGCTATAATTTCACTGTGTGTCCTCAGTGGTCTGCTTGCTGAGTCAGGTGACAGATGCCTCACACCTGTAGCACAGTGCTAGGCATGGGCTGTAAAACCTCTGTCTCTTTGAGCTGCATTCTCCCCTCTCCTTTCTCTTGCACTTAGGGATCAAGTTGGCCCTGAAGAACATTTTTACTTTCACAGTGTCTCAGGTCCCAAAGGAAACCTTCCTAAAACATCCATTTATCTGGCCCTGAGGGAGAGGAAACATGAGGTTAAACTCTGTTATGCAAATCGACCACGTGGTGCTTCTCCAAGCATTTGTGTCTTTTAACTCTTCCTACAAACCAGCCTGCTTTTGTTACAATAAGCATCACTTAATCTTTAGACCAGACTCTGGTGTCTGGGATCTGATGATTAGGGAAATTGGTAGGAATTAGAATAGTGATAGATCATAAATAAAACTGTGTATCATTTCTGCTAACCTGACATGGGAATGTTTTCTAAAAATATGTGGGAAGGGTCTTTTCTTTATACTTCTCTAAAGTCTTTCATGGTTATCTTCAGATCATTAATTCTTGAGTTCCTAAGTGATAACCCTTTTCCATGAAGCGAAAATACTAATCCCCTTCCCTCACATTATGAAACAGACATACTCTGTTTTCCATTGCTTTCTTAAAATCTTTCCTGTCTCACCTCTTAGTTTACCTTTCTGGTAGAGAAGACTTAAGAGACTGCAGGCTATTTTTGCTTGGACCAACAATGTATTTTCATTAGCAGATTCTAAATGTAGACTTCAGATGTGTTGTCTTGACCATACTTCGAGTGTCTTTAAGCTTAGTGTTCCCCATGCATCCAGGCATTCCTTCTAGAAGGGGATGGAGGAGTGGGCAGGCACCAGAGTGGCCTTTGGCAGGAGCTCCCTCCTCATTTTAGTTATTACCCCATGGAACATGCCATCACAAATTTCACTGAACTGTCCCCTCTACAGGCATTATTTTAAATACTGGTGGTTTCGCACTGGTGGTGTCTCTTTAGGAGATAAAGTTTTGCAGCCAAACAACACAGTGTTGTTTCTCTACAGAGCTGCCACTCATCCGACCCCACTAGTGACTATTAGGCCCCTTCCAAAGTAAAAAGCCACAGAGCAGTTTCCAGGGCAAGACTGTGCATCAGTCAGGTCCAGTCAGGAGACAGCAACCACACCAGAGGACTGAGCAGAACAACTTGAGGATACTGTTAACCAGGTAGAAAACTACTGACTAGGTAACCAGTGAGTGAACAAGAGAACTCAAAGTGACGTAGGGAAAGCAAGTGTGGGGCGAGGCCACCATCTGTAGCTGGAGGGAACAAAAGGAAGAGATTGGAATGGTGGCCCCAAGGACCCAAAGCTCAGGCCTCTGCCAAGGGGTGGGGTCTGAGATCCCTACATCTGAGAAGGAGGTCCATATTGGTGCATGGTCTTGTGAGTATTGGAAAACCCAGACTGGATGGCACAGCTGCCCCAGCAATAAACTTCTGCTGCCGATGCTGCTGAGGTACAGAGGCCAGAGCTGTCCTCACCATCCACCACCTTCACAGTCTCTGTAACAGCCCCTGTTGGTGGAGCCAAGTGGTAAAACAAAGTGTGGTTTACACAGTCAGTCCAGACCAGCCTCAGCAAATGAATCAGATGAGAAGGCTGAGCTCAAGGCTGAGGGACAATAGCCTTATAGTGGCATAGTTTGCTAAGTGTCGGCCCACTGACCTTCCAGAGCCTCATAGTTTTGAGCAAAACAGTTCTGGTAAAATATGCACCCACACTGTTTATAGAAACAGAACCAAAAAAGCTCCTGTGCATTGGTAATAAGTTGTCTAAATATTCTGTACCTGTCGCATTAGTTTTAAGGGAAATTAGAGGAAGAGAGGTCGGTAGTTAAGTTCCGTAAGATTGGGGACACTTGCTTCTATCTCTGCCTGCTTTTTGTAGGGCAAATAGGCACTGAGATGCTTTTAGAAAAAGATGAACAGAAACACAGCTAAGTGGGCATTTGCAGAATTGGTGTCTGTAAAACCCATTAAGAAGTGTTTGGGGGAAAAATCGTTTAGCTCTTTCATGTTCATTGTAATTTTTAAATTTGGCCCCACATTCATTGAACCTAAATTCAACTGAGGTTGAAAGGAAAATGATTCAGTGAAGAATAGAACAGCACGACATGGGCTGTCATCCACCAGACCTCAAGGCAGTGCACACACAGGGATTCCTGCATGGGGGTTGGGAGGTGGGTTCCAGTGTTTATAGGGGCTGCTGCCCCAGTCTGCTCAGCTGGGGCCCAGGGAAGGTGAGAGAGTCATTAGCACCCACTAAAGACCAATTTCCTCCTCTCCTTTGTGTGAGAGGTTTTCTGTGTGAGTCTAAGCACTTCTCCTTAAGTGAAAATATTTGTCTTTCAGGGCTTTTCCCCCCTCCGGCTGAGTGGCAAAGGCCATGTTTGTTTGTCTTAACTCTGAAACTGTTATTGACATAGATGAAGTGTTACTTTTATTAGCTGATCATTACACAGCTTGTATTTGCTGGGTTCCTTTGCATATAATTATGATGTGAAAACTCCTTGTAAGAGTATCTGTCAATAGTGTAATTGACTTTCCCCTGTTGACTTTTTACTCAATAACCTCTGAGACTGGCCCATCCTTAGACATTGGAAACCTGCTTATTTTGAAATTTGCCTGAGTGCGGTGTTCAAGATATATCATCCTCAAAAGAACTGCTTGCACATCTTGAGTTTTATACCTGTATCTTCTGCTACTTTCCCAGTGAAATGTGCTGCAGAGATCCCCTGAAATGGAACAGTTACCACCACTGAATCTTTAGACCAGACTCTGGTGTCTATCCAGACTCTGGTGTCTATTTCTGGCCTATCTGGGGAAGAGAAGCCCAGATTTCTTACATTCATAGCATTATGGGCCGCCTCCCACACAGGGACCATAGAAACTCGCTTGAGCCATCTTACGTTTAACCTTTAGGACTCTCTCTGATCCCCATGTGGCCACTTGAATGACAAAGAAGAATTAAATGTCCCTGGTTGGCCAGAGGGTTGGGAGAGAACAGATGGGAGGCAGGTCCTTCAAATGGCAGCAGAGCCCAGAAATCATGCATATAGACTCAGGAACCAAGTTTCCTGGGTCCTTATTCTGTAGCTATGGAACCTTGGACAAGTACACTTGGGCTTCTCACAAGGAAACTACCTCTCTTGTGAATTAAGATTAATACACAGTTATGTGCTTGGCATGTAAGCATTATGCAGATATTCGATAATAACATGGATGTATCCAGTCTGCCCTCCATAGACCTTTCTGGGTCCTCTTCCTGAGCACCTGAACCTAAGCCCCATCGTTCAAGAGAAGGCTTAGTTTGAACTTCTGTCACTTCAGCCCAATGTAGATTTGTGGCAAGGCAATTGCCTTTGAGGAATCATTGCTGGCCTACAAGTCCAGACCATAGCATGTTATAAAATTGTAAGAAAGTGCCATTGAATTACCATGAAAGGCTCCTTAATTTTACTTGGATCTCTAAGGACCTAAATGAAAACTGCAATTCCCATTGAACATGAAGATGACC